CCTCTCAGGACACAGTGGAAGTCTTGCATACTAGAAGGGGCACTCCCGAGACACCACGTCCTGCTCCACATCTCTTTCAGCTTCTCCAAGCATCCCTGTCCCCTCACTGGCTGCACCTTCTCTGTTTTCTTTGCTGCCCTCTCCCGCTCAGTGTTGGAGGGCCCCGGTGTATCTTCGGCTATCTTCTCTTGTCTTGTTACACTTTCTCCCTAGATGATCTCACATAGGCACAAGATTTAAATGGATCTGATGCCTGTCAAATCCATATCATCCACCCCAAATCCTACCTCTGAACTCCCTAGACAACTCCACTTGATTTTGAAAAGACATCTCAAAAAATAAAATGGCCAATGAAATTGAATTTCTCTTTAGTATATGTGCTGGCAACGTGAGCACAAAACTAATTGATTTTTGACCCAACTTCCACCCCTCTCCCCACTCTTCCTCACCTTTGTAAGTGAGGGTGACACCTACCTAGTTGCTCAAGGTAAAAGAACTCCATCAGGAAGCCCTGTTGGTTCTGCCTCTAATATGTATTCCTAATCCAATAGCTTGTCACCATTTCCAATACTGTCCCCCTCATCCAAGTCAAACCTTCTTGCACTGGGACTGCTGCAATGTCCTCCTAGCCAGTCTTCCTCCCCACACCGGCTCGCACCCTCCTGTCTATCCTCCGCACAGCAGCCTGCTGAAACACCTCCTTCCACCCTCCCAGCAGCCCCTGCACGAGCCGCTCTGATCCCTCCAAGGTCTTTCCTGTCTCAGGACTTCGCACTTGCTGTTTCTTCTACTTGGGAGCTCTTCTCTCAGATCTTTAGTATGCATCCATATCTGAAATTATCCTTTTAATGTGTTTGTTTTCATGTGTGGCATGTGCCCACAACTCCTCACTCCCCAGTAGAATAGAACAGAAGCTCTTGTCTATCATGTTTGCTGCTGTATCGCCAGAGCCCGGGCAGGACTTGACTCATCGTAGAAGCTCATTTTACATTTGCTGACTGATCCATTGACTGTGAGGATTACAGTTAGGATTGTTAGAGCTGAAAGAGAAACAGTCCAACCTCCTCGTTTCACAGATGGGGAAACAGAGGCCCAGAGAGACTCCCTTGCCCAGTGGCACAGATACAGACTTAGCCAAGCCAAGCTGGTCATGCACAATCCTTAGGTTCTTTTTCATAAACTGTAGTAGCTGCTAAAGGCAAGGGTTAGTTATTTTCCTCTAAATCTCCCTGCCAAGTTATCATGCAAACAGATCTCAAAACAAATTCTGCTGCCCGTACAAATACCTATAAAACAAACATCTATTAGCAAGCAGCCACAAAACTGGTTCATATGACTCTTTCTGTAAAATCAATGAAAGCCCAGCTCTCTGTCCTTTAAGGCAACAGTCCCCAATGTTTTTGGCATCAGGGACTGTTTTCATGGAAGACAATTTTTCCACGGACGAGGGCAGGGGGCAGGGATGGTTTCGGGATGATTCAAGCACATTACATTTATTGTGCACTTTATTTCTATTATTATTACGTTGTAACATACAATGAAATAATTATAGGACTCACCATAGGTTGGGGACCCCTGCTTTAAGGAGCTTTTCCACCCTGCAGGAAGGATCCACTTGAGGAAGATACAACATTCTAGAGGTAAGATTCAGTTAGACTGATGGTCCTATCTGAATACCTTGGGACAGAGGCTCCCTCAAGGATTAGCTCAGTGCATCATCCCTAAATGAGAATTAGCAGCTTCCCCAGATTCCCTGACTCTGTTTGAACAAGGAATGGGCTAAAACACTATTTTAGCCAGCCTACATATCTAGAATACTACTAATTTCAACAAATGAGAGCTTATTTCTAATACATGTCGTGCTAATTAATAAGCTGCTGATTTCGCAATGCATTCATTACACTACTCAGGAAAGCCTCGGGGTGGATTGAGATATGGATAGCAGCGTGGGACACTGAGATGATTGTTTGTGACTCTGCACTTCTCTTCTTAACTCCCAAGTTCATTGACTTCAAGCTGGTAACTTAAAAATCAGACATAGGGGAAGTATTTACACTGTGGAAACTGGTAACAGCTCCCTACCACCCGGTTTTTAAACATTTACCAGCACACTGGTGGCTAGTGGAGCGACCTCTGGAATGTGGCTTTCTGATAAAATCTTGGCTGACAACCTCACCCTCATGCCTGCCTTTATACCTAGTGATGCTTAATCCTGGCTGCACTTTAGAAGTTACCCAGGGAACTATAAAATAATACTGATTCCCAGGTCCCTGTTGGTGGAGATTGATGTGATTGGGGTTAGGGCTGGATATCAGGATACAGTTAAAGCTCACCAGGTGATCTTAATCTGCAGCCAGGGTCCCATTCACACCTGTATGTCACACTATGCCACACATTCTAACAGTCCCACAAAAAGGTAATGGCAAAACCAGGATTAGTACCAAGCCTGCTGCCCCCTACCCCAGAGCTCCCAGCAAAAGGAGGAAAAGTGGAAAACAGATTGCCACTTCTACTGAGGCCTTGGTGTTTGCAAATGAGGCTCAGGATAAGCCCTAGCGCTTGGGGTCAGTGTTGGGGTTGCAGGCGGGGAGGGCCAGTGCAGGAGCCCAGGAAGGCTGTGCCAGCCCCAAAGAGCTCCCTTTGTAGGGAAGGCTCACTTCAGCCCTCAAGGCATCTTATAGGGGCTCAGGGAGAGCTGAGGGGGTCTGCTCAGAAGCTTGTGTGTCACCAGGGAATGTGTGCTAGAGGAGAATAAAGTGCAGCTGGCAGGAGAGGCCAGAAGGGAAGAACGGAAGTCTAGGGGCAACTGGAAGGAAACTCTGATAGAAACCAAGATGGGGGAGGTGCGTGGGTAGCTGGGGATCTAGATTAAATACAGAGCGTGGAAAGGAGGCCAGGAAGTGATCCTCAGAGGAGGTAAGATGCTAAGCTAGCTCTCCAGGGGATGGGGAGGGCTACGAGCGTCTAGGGGTGGGGATAGAGACTAGGACCTCAAAGAGTGGGTGTGAGGCTCTAACCCCCAAAGAAAAGTCAAAAATCTTCCTCCTTAAAGGACAGAAAGGACAACTTTTAACAGTGGGGAAGATGTCTTCTTGGTGCCTCTGAAGAAGCAGGCGAAGAAAAGATATCTTGTTGACCCTCGGTCATTCCTCTGAGGGTAACTTGCATCAGTCTCTGGTTCCATGTCTCTACTGCACACAAACACCTTTGCAGTTCCTGCTTCTTTTGTACCAGGAAACGGGTTTCCTTTTTACCCTTCTCAGCAGGTCACTCCCCCCCTCACCCCGCCCCCACCTCCAACCTTGCTTTCTTCCTCCTATGGCAGAGCCCTGGGGGCTGGGGCCAGCCGGGGCTCTGTTTCTGAGTCTGTCTTTCTTTCTGTGTCTGCAGGAGGCTTGGGAGCCCAGAGCAGGGGACTTGGATAAGGGTGACGTTCCTGGAACCACCACCAGGGACCCCACCCAACACTTTTTGAGCTCTTGACCTCTGGGCCATGCATTGCTTGGCTCCCAAGCCCTAGGCTGAGCTAGGCCTGGGAGACAGGAAAGCAACAGTGAGTAAAACTGAGGGAAACAGGCTCACAGCCACCTCTGGTCCCAGGCTGAGAAGAGGCCAGGCGGGGCGAGGCTGGGGCAGACCCAGGCTGCGTGTGTGCAAGGGAAGGAGCTGCCTACCCAACCTGGCTTGAGGATGGGGATAGGGAAGGGCTTTCTGGGAGCAGGAAGTCCCTGGGGGCAGGGTTGGGATATCCGGGTGCCAAAGAAGCAGATTTCGGAGATCAGTTGGGGAAAGGCCTTGAGCAGATGTGTCACACGAGGAAACTCCAGACCCCAGTCCTGTGGGGGCCCCTTAGCCCCACCCTGGTCTGCTGCACCTTCCTAGGTGCCGCACTCCACCCTCCTCAGGCCTGAGCAACTCCACTTCCTTATTCCATTCACGTCTTGCACACTCATTTGCACTTTTAACACCTTGGCGGTTAATTCCTGCCTTTTTCCTCTAGTCTTCCCTCTTGACAACAGCGCAAAACTTGCAATTCTGTGTACCCCAATTGGGCACGCTTGCTCTCCTCTAGCGCACCTCCGGTACACACGCTCCGACGCCCCCCTCCGTTAGCACAGGCGTTTCCAGAGTAGCCCGTGAGCTCATTTGCAAAACCCTCGCCCCCTCCCCTCTCCTCCTCCGTCTCCTTTCGGGTCCGGAACCGCAGCCCCGCCCCCGGCCCGCCCCCTCCCCGAGGCCGGGCACCGCCTGGCTCCCATTGGCCGCCGGGGCTGGCTGGCTCCCCGGCGGGGGCGGTGATTGCGGCTCGCCAGTGTCAGTCCCGGAGAGAGCGCCGGTGGCGGGGCCCGCAGCCGAGCAGCCGCAGGTGGGGCTTGGAGCACTGGCGTTGGGACCGAGCCCGGGAGCCCCGGAGGCCCCGATAACCCCGGGTAACCCGCGCGGGGAGCGCCCAGGATGCCCCGCGGGGACTCGGAGCAGGTGCGCTACTGCGCGCGCGTCTCCTACCTTTGGCTCAAGTTCTCACTCATTATCTACTCCACGGTGTTTTGGGTGAGTGACCCGAGGAGGGCCTGGGGATGGGGGTGGGGGTCCACACTCCCTCGACCGCCCGGGCTTGGGTCCAGACTTAGCAACTCCGGGGAAGGCGTGGGGAGTGCGCGCTGGCTCCTCGTCCCACTCTCCCTGGGAACCGGGAAATTCTGGTGGCCCGAGCTCGGCTTGAATTCCAGCCACCCTGTTAAGAGCGTTAGAGCTGGTTGCAGACCGACCGAGTGCCACATGGCTCACCTGTGTGCACCTGATGGGCGGTTTGCCCGCTGGGTAGGCCGTAGTTACCGCCTTGCCGCGCCCACCACGCCTGCCAGGTATTGCGGAGTTTGCCCCATCAGCCTGTGGAGAGTCAGGCCTTGTGTCAGGGTCCGGGGACCTGGATTCTGGGCTTGGTCCCTCTGTTTTCTTGCTGATGTCCCTGAGCAAGACGCTTAACCTCTGCCTCTTAGTTTCCTCTTTGGTGGAAGGGGGATGCGCGTGGAGTGGAGGAGTCCACCAGACCACGTCTCCGGTGCTCCTAGGTGCTCAGTTACTGTTTCTGCTGCCACTGGGCGAAATACCTCCTCTTCTGCCTTGGGGGAGGAGGATGGTAGTGGTTGAACTTGACCCAGGCTTTGAATCCTGCTGCTTCCACTTTCTGGCTGAGTGATCCTGGGAGAAGTTACTTTAACTCTCTGGGTCATAGTTTCCTCATCTGCAAATGGAGACAGTAACTGTTTTCAACTTTTAGGATGCTTGTGGAGATTAAATGAGATAGGCCAAGTATGTGCCTAGCAAGCTCCAGAAGTGTGAGCCATTATTATTATCGTGGGTAGCAATCTGGTCCCCCAGGGTGTAAGTTGCCCCTGGGTTTCTGTAAGGTTGTATCAGACTAGCCTGGGGCCTAGTCTATAAATGAGGACATCTTTCTACAGGCCACCTCCACCCCTAACAGTCTAGAATAGCTCCTTTCCCCCAGTATGCCACCAGGACAGACTTGTGCAGGGACCCCAGGGGAGTCACACCCTATGCCCCACCAAAACACACACTCTCTCCTGGTGTGCTCCTCGGTCCTTTGCTGGGTCTCTTCTGCTGGCAGGAGCTGCTGGATTTGCCATCAGGACTGGCTTTCCCTGCGAGGCCCTTGTGGCTGTGACCTTGCCTAGTAGCCGGGAGATCAGATTCTGGTCCTGCTCTGGTACTGACTCGCTGGGTTATCTGAGCAAGTCGCTTCCCTGTTTTGGGCCTCAGAACTGTTCATTGACTTTTCCATCTAGAAAACTAGCTTGAGGCCAGCTTCCAATCCTCTGACTCTAGTAGTGTGGAAGAGAGATGAGCAGTATGTTCGGGGGCTGGAGAATGGAGCAAGGGCCCATTGGTGGAAGCTCTGGGGAATCAGAAGGTTATATGTGGGAGTGGTTTGAGCTTTAATTCACCCCAAGTTGCATCAGAATCAACTGGAGAGTTTTAAAAAACACTACAGATTCCTGTGCCCTGGCGTAGGTGTTTATTTAAATTTACTTAAGCTCCCCAGGCAACTCTATGTGCAGTCAGAATTGAAAACTCCTGCTCTAGATGGTCTCATAGGTTCTGTAAGTCCCCAGGGATCCTTTACCTGCCCCTTGTCTGGCCTGGTGAGCTAGCTCTTCTCTCTGTTGGTCAGAGTTGGAAGAGGAGAGCCTCAGGTTGATGGGTGGAGAGGTACGAAGCTGGGATTACATTTCTGGCTTCACCCCTTCCCTTGATGTGTGATCACTGCCCGGTCTCTTAACCTCCCCACAACTCCGTTTTCTCATCTGTAAAGTGGATAAGTGATATCTTGCCCTGCACCTCAGTGAACTGTTTTTAGGATTAGTGATATGTGGAGAGAATGAGCTTTCCAAAGGTAAATTGTGTGGTTAAATCAAACCAAACTCAAAATTTCAAGGCTCTGTTCTATTGCTGTCCTCTTCAGCCCCCGGAAAAGCCTGTCCTGTGGCCCTTGCTTTGCTTCTCTTGGGGAGGGCAGGACTCAGGACTTGGAATCCTTCCTCTGCCGACTGACGTTGTCTTACCAAATCCTTGACTCCCATCCCTGGAAGTATTTTTGCTTAAAAATCTCCCCACATATGCCAAGAACTCAGCCACCTGCCAACTCTGACAGGGCAGCTCCAGGTGCCAGAGTTTGACTGCAGGGCGGAGGCCCAGTGTAAGTAAGTAATTTGTCCTGGCCTGGGTGTGCTGTTAATTGGAAACCATTTACAGGAAAGCCCATTATCTCTGATGCCATCCCTTGGGGGGTGGGGGTGGGACAAGGGTTACTTGCTTTAAAAGCCCAACGTGCTGACACTTGCATCTCAGTCTTTGGGTCTGAAGGGGGCCATAAGTTTTATCACAGCCATGCACTTTAAGACTTTTTGCTTTAAAAATCATTATGGATCGGAAATACATGGGCATGGTACAAGAAAAGGGTAGTGTTCACTGACAAGACCTGCCCAGCCCTGTCCACAGGAGATCTCTGTTATCAGTTTGCTGTGATTATTTTCTGAGATCTCCTAGGCTGGTGGTCCCCAATCTTTTTGGCACCAGGGACTGGTTTCATAAAAGACAATTTTTCCACGGACAAGGGGCAGGGGGAGGCAGAGCTCAGGTGGTGATGCGAGCCATGGGGAGCGGCTGTCAATACAGATGAAGCTTCGCTCCAAGGCTGCTCACCTCGTGCTGTGTGGCCCCTGGTTCCTAAGTTTCATGGAAGACAATTTTTTGTTTTTTTGAGACAGTCTCGCTCTGTCCTGGGTAGAGTGCAGCATTGTCATCAGAGCTCACCTCCTGGGCTCAAGCAATCTTCCTGCTTCAGCCTCCCAAGTAGTTGGGACTACAGGTGCATGCCATGATGCTCAGCTAATCATGGAAGACAATTTTTCCATGGATGGGGACAAGGGAGCTCGGAGCTCAGGAGGTGATGTGTGGCCCGGTTCCTAACAGGCCACAGCCTGGTACCAGTCTGTGGCCTGGGGATTGGGGACCACAGTCCTATGCAAAGGATGTCCTAGGCACAAACATGTAGATATATCGTATATATGTTTTTCACGTTAGTAGCACACTCTACACAGAACTTTTCACTTACATTTAAATCCACATGAATTATGGAGATCTGCTAGGGGCTGCCTCGTTCTGTTTGGTGACTGCATAGACTTCACTCTAGGCTGTGCCAAAATTTATTTAATCCTCCCCTTTAGGTTTTTTCCAGTCTTTTGTTACTGGGAACAGTGGTACAGTGAGTATCTTTGAGTGTGTCATTTGCATATGTGTGTATGTTTGCAGGGTGATATCTAGAAGTGGAATTGCTGGGTTAAAGGGTATGTGAATGTACAACGTATGTACAGAAATGCACCTTGATGAGTTTTCACAAAGTGAACACACCTGTACAGTCAGCTCCCAGATCAACCAACAGAACGGGTAGTGGAAGCCAGAAGCCCCTTCAAGTTCTCCTCTAGTCACTACCCCTTCCCTACAGGGTACTCGCCATTGGACCATCCTACAGCAAGGAACAGCTTTGCCTGTTTTTGTATGTGCATTTTAAATTTTGATGTTGTTAAATTCCTCTATATAGAGGTTATACCAATTATAATATTATTTACTTAATATATGTCTTTAAACTGACTTACTTGTTAAACTTTATTTTTAAAAGGAGGTTTTATATCACTACAACCAATGGGAAACCAATATCCCTTATCATAAATAGCAGGCAATGGTTAAAATAAATATAGCACAGGGAAAACAAAAGTCCTAGCAACATGTTGTGGTTGCTGAAGGCTAGTGACTCTGACACCCACCCTCTCTGTTCAAAAGGTAGGTTGGCAAGTGCTTAAGCGGCTTAAAGACAAACTGGTACCCAAGCTGAGACTCGCTCCTTGATGCGATCGGAGGGGTCAGAAGGGAATTGAACAAGGAGAACTTCTCAGCCTGTGAGTCAATGTGAATGTGACCCTGAACCCCTGTAGCGATCTCCTGCCCCTCACTCAGGGGCCCTCTTGTTTTCAAGAGGTTGTGTTTCAGGGCCACTCAGCATTTCTGGCATCCTCAGTCTAGTGCTCCTTGCTTCGTCCAGTATGTCACTGAGCTGTCTCCATGAGAAATGAACTCACCCAGAGACACTTAGAACCTCCGCTTCCCGCCACGAAGGGTGAATCATTCTGACACATGCTACCTCAGCCCATTGGGGACACACCTCTAATTTTAGCGCTGCCCACAGCATATCCCAGAGATCTGTTTACAGGACTGCTTTTCCTTGCTGGACTGGGGACGCCTGGAGGTCAGGGGTATAGCTCGTTCATATCCTCCTCTGAACAGTGGGCCTGGGCACACAGTAGGTGCACAGGGAAGGCTTGCTGCATGACAGTGATTGAGTCCCACCTGAGCCTACGCAGGTATCTAACCTGGGGCAGAGGCCAAGCTAGGTGTGTAGCCAGCAGCGGTGAGGCTTGCTGAGGCCTTCAATTTGCAAAGTGGGCTGGGCTGATCATGGAGCCATTGACTCTCTAGAAAGCCCAAGGCTGTGGCCTTGACTAAGGGCAGGGTTTTCAGTTGGGTAAGGGTTTCAGGGTTGGGGGGCGTTGACTAATTAGGAAGAAAAGGACCTGGTGGGGGCCGAGGGCAAATGGGGAGGAAGTGGGAGTGGGTGGTAATAATGAATGCTAGACGCAATATGAACTCTTTCTTGCCTTCTCCAAGGATGGACCTGCTTACCGGAGCTTGGCCTGTAATGCTTTATATTTGCCTATAGTTCAATGGTTGAGTGTGGACTCTGTACCAGGCTGCCAGGGTTTAAATCCCACCTCTGGCACTTACAGGTTAAGTGACTTAGGCATTAGCTTCTACGTGCCTCAGTTGCCTTATCTATAAAATGGGTATTAGAACCTACCTGATAGTTGCTGAGAAGGTTAATTGGATTAATATACAGGAAGAGCTTAGAGCAGTGCCTGGTACATGACAAACACTCCATCAACTACTTACAGGTTAGCTGTTCTTTTCCTGTCTTC